ATCAGGGGGTTAGCGGGGGCTGAGAGGGATTGAAACGACGCCAAGAGCTGCTGCGGGGACGAAGGCCCCGGAATATGCAACCCCTCTCAACCACGATACTCCGTCGGTCTCTCTCTCTCTTATCGCCCCCTTCGCCATCCCCCCCTGATTCCGCTCGAGCGCAAAGATGAATTTGCTCCTCCTCGTGGCAATTAATAGTTTCGTTCCCAATTAAAGGAGGATATTAAAATCGCGTTACGCCGCTCGCTCACGATCCATCGACGAGTTTTCATTAAAGGTTATCGGCAAAAGAAAAAGAGAGAAAGAAAAGGAAATATCTCGACGCGCTTCGCCATGCGCGAAATTATTTGGCGCGCCGAGTTCCGATCGGAAGCCACAGCTGTTGAATCCACGACTTCGCGTTTCCGCGTGACTTCAGGCAAAACCGCGAGAAACCGACGTCACGTTGCGCGCCGCGAAATTCCAAAGTGACTTACACACCCCGTGATTGCCTCCACCAGAATATCGCATGTCGATCGTACGTGATTGGAATGTATATTTTCGCGAAATGTAATTTCCACAGTGCCACATTATAACGGCTACGGCAGCGCCATCGCCGTCGATTACGTCATAAATCTTCCATTATCATTTGCATTATTGGCTTTGCATTAGAGCGTCAGATATGAGCACGACGCGCGACTTCCGTGTAATTTTATCTAACGAGAACGACATTTCTTTCTGTTACAGGTGAGTTACTTCTCCATACTATTGCGGTCGCCGAGAATTTATAATTCGTCGTATAACCGAATCTATAATGTCTCCCCGTTTAATGTAAGTATGAAGAAAAATCATTGATCGACGTATTATACGCTTACCGATTAGGAATTGTAAGATCAGCGCGCATCCTGAGGATATTGTCGCGCGATAGATTTCACTTTATGTCAATCCATTGATAAATCAGTCACTAACAGCGCAAATCTTTTTGGGGAACTCTTACACTGCATGAAAAAAAATGTTTGGTTGAATAAACCAATTCCTGATGAAATATAAACGATTCAGAAATTCCAATTAAAATTATCAGAATTATTTTAAAGTAAACCAGAAATCTTGATAATTTAGACTGAATTCCTATAACTTTAATTGGAATTTCTGTGAATCGTTCATATTTTATCAAAAATTTAACCAAACTCTTTTTCTCCATATATGAGAAATAATATTTAAGAAATAAAATATATTTATTCGGTGAATAATTAATAATATATTACTTATGCCAATAAATTTTTTTATTTATATTAATTATATATATCATATGCAAGATTTATACACACATTATATATATATATATATATATATATATATATATATATATATATATATATATATATATATATACTTATGTTGATAAATATATTTTTCAAATAAAAAAATATAATTTTTTTAAAGACCTAAGCTTCTCATATGAAAAAGCAATTGCTCATTCAACTTAAATAAAATAATTTAGATTTATAAGTGAATATGTTAATATTTACTGAATAAATGTTTTTTTATTTCTTAAAATTTTTTGTCATTGAAAATATGAAAAAAGACAATGAGGAATCTAAAAGATAGAAACTCATTCAATTGAATGACTTAAGTGGCGTGTGAAGCAAATCATGCTTACATAGTCTCAACAACTTCTATTTCTTATTTCTTATTCATTGCTCGGCTCGCGCATAGTCTAATTTTATACCATGAAGATCATTAATTTGCAAAAAGAGTCGCATGCCCTTTCCGCTTTCCTGTGAACTTTCTTGTTCACGTATTTAATACCGTTCGATCGGTCGCGAGGTCTTTTATTTAAAGTGTTCCGCTACTCTACCTCTTTATTTTCCCGATAATTCCTCATTAATTCCGCCGAGGTTATTCATCTCTTAGTCTTCATTTATGCGAAAAGTTTGCACTACCTCTGAATATCATTATCCGGGTAGCACCCTTTTCTCCCGACTCCTCGGGCGATTTGATTCCATTGTTGAAGAAGAAACGGCTACGAAGGAAACTTCGTAGCCTGTATCGTAGTCTAGCGAGCGCTCCTCGGACGAGAACATATACATACATATATATATATATATATATATATATATATATATATATATATATATATATCCGTTTTACGCAACGCAGCTAAGCGAGCTCTTGCAAAATTAATGAACATTTAAGTTCGTACGAATTCACGCGGAATTTTACTCTTGACGAATCGTCGTCATTCGCTATCAGGGACGCAACAAATTGGCGAACATTATACTTCATTAGGTCGCGAGACTCTTCAGCCGCCGAACACGTCCATCCTAATGTGACAATATACGTGTAAATTAATCGATCGCATATACTAATACACGGAAATTTACATAATCCGACACCCAAATAACCGGGTAACCTAATATGCTGATAAGCGTAAGCTACATCCCTAAAATTCTGCGCGCGCTGCAGCAACGACATGCTAAATACTTTAATACATATATACGCGCGTGAATATATATATATATATATATATATATATATATATATATATATATATATATTAATCGAATATTTTAATATTTCTCCTGGCAAATGCACAAATTTCGTTATCTCACGCTGCTCGTGCAACAAAAACGAGGACAAGCCATTTATAATTTTTCATTACTATATTAACTTATCCGTTGTTTAAATTTAATGTTCAAGTATAAACTCATACACAAATATAGATCTTCCATCAAGAAATAAGTATTTATTAAAATACATTTGTAGAATTTTAAGTTTATTTCTATAAAATAAACTTTTATCCTACAAATAAATTTTTAAGTATTCTCAGTGTCAACATTTGAAAATTTATTTGTGTCCGTACTTGAAAATTTATTTATGGAATTTAAAGTTTATTTCTGTGAGAAAAAATTTATTTCTGGAAAAAAAAAGTTTATTTCTGGAAAAGAAAGTTTTTGTATGAAATAAACTTTTGTCTCACGCACAAATAAATATTTTCAAGTATTTTTTCTCTGTATTTGTGTCAATATTGGAAAATTTACCTGTGGAATTTAAAGTTTATTTCTGTGAAATAAAGTTTATTTTTACGAAATAAACTTTTGTACTACATCCACACACACAAATTGATTTTCAAATATTTTTTTCTCAATGTAAATTTGTGTGAAATTGTTGACACTCGGAACCAACATTATTGTAGAATACGCGTAAAGAAACGCGCAGTTAGACTCTATTAACCGTCCGCGTCATTAATAAAATGTTAAACAATTATCTCTCTCCACTATCAAAGCAAAACCACCTCGAAAGCAAAAACGCCTACCGCCGTAGGGTAGAACAGTTATCAAATTACGCAAAATGTTATCGCACGGGATCGACGCGAACGTCACGTTGATGCTCCTTCGGTGTTCGATCCGCCCTCATCTTGACGCGAACAAAATCTACCGCCCCCATTATCCGTGAAAACCTTCCACTCACCCTCGCCGCTCGTTTCGCACCTACCCCTTTTCACCTTTACTCACCTCGGATTATCGATTGCCCCGGGCATCGTTTCGTACATGTGCAACGCACTCTGACACAAGCGCGCTCAAGGTAATAGCTGTGATTACGGAGGGATGATCCCATCAGAGCTTACGAGACTTTTAACGAAACTTTTCGACCGTACGAATTCCGGCGCGCCCCGAGGCGAGCGTACACGCCACCAGAAACGTTATTTTCACGGGCCCGTGACGTGATACGACAATAAAATTGCAATTCGGTAATGAAATCGCGGATGTAATAAACACTTTGTAGATAATGGCTCGCATACACGCATACTGACGCGAGCGATAAAAACATAAATAGCCTTTAATAAATTCGATGAATTCACTTTTCCACTTAGGACGCTTGTAATCAATTCCACTCATTGACATTGGCAACAATAGAATTACGCACCATACTCCTATATCTCTCTCCCACCGAACAAATGTAAACAATCGATATACCGTACTTTAGTGAATAAATTGATCTAAACAGTTTCTTGTTTTCATGAAAATTTAGTTTTATATTGACCGTAAATTCATGATGTGTATTGTGTTATGTGAGTACTCTCTAATAACATATTTACTTAAATCTGAATTCTTTTATTTAAACAGAATACAATTGCTTTCATGAAAAGCTAAGGTTTTAAGAAAATTTATATTTTCTTACTTGAAAATGGTAGTTTATATTAAAGTGTAAGTAAATATTTTATTAGCACCCACCAAATAAATGTTTCTTGTTTCTTGGATACAAATCCTGTGGAACTTGAAAAATCAACGTGGAATCTCGAGATATGCTATCCGAATCGACATTTTCATTCTATACTGCGAATTTTCTTCAACCTTGCGAATTCCAACAAAAGTTGAAGAATCAATAAAGAATTTTTAAATATACATCCGAGGAAATATATTCTTAACGTAACTATATATAAACTGTATATAAGTGCCTTATACAGGAAAAAAAGATTTAACTGTCGCAATTCGTCTAATCATGATTTAAAATGAAAATCATAGTTGAAAATGTATTTATTGTTGTAAAACTTTTGCTGTTGCAATTATACCAGTTTTATAGTTAAAAATCCTATTATATACACTGAGAGAAAAAATATCTAAGAAGTTCTAAAAAAGCATTTATTCGGTAGTACTAATAAAATATTTACTTGTATTTTAATATAAATTACTACTTTCAAGTAAGAAAATATACATTTTTTTAAAACCTTTACGTTTACGTAAGTAATTATTTATTCTGTTTAAATAAAAGAATTTAAATTAAAGTAAATATGTTATTAGTATCTATCGAATAAAAGGTTTTTATTTTTCAAATATTTTTTCTGTCAGTGTATAACCTCAAGAGGAGATTCTTCTAAAATCAGAAGAAAAATATTCTAACACCCAAAAAAGAAGTCTAATTGCAATATATACAACCTATTACTACTGTAACCCTATATTCTATAAGCGAAACCATGGTTAGATAGAGTTGCGACAGTCAAATCTTTTTTTCCTGTATAAGGCATCCAAAAGAAAGTATAATCTTATTTTACTGTATGAGACAATCAAAAGAAATTATAATCATATCTTTAGCAGAATCCTCGTACTCTAATACAAGTTTTTTTAATTAATTTTGTATTTTTAATAGCAACTTTTTCTCGTAATAAAAGAGCATTTTGCTTCAAGTAAACATATTCCTTGATTCAATTCTTCTTACTGAAAGAATCTTCCTCTTCTAGTCAAGTAAAATATATATTAATCAAAAATCTACTAGATATATTATTTTAACTTTTTTTCCTTTTGACTCAAGTATTATATTCACTTGAAACAAGATGCTCTTTTATTACGAAAAAACGTTGCTTTTAAAAATATAATTTTAATTAAAAAAGCTTGTATTAGACTACGAGGATTTTGCTAAAGATGAGATTAACTCTCTTTTGGATGTCTTATACAAGAAAAGATTATACTTTCTTTTGAGTGCCTTATACAGGAAAAAAAGATTTGACTGTCGCAACTTGTTCAATCATGGTTTAAAATGAAAATCATGATTGAAGATGTATTTAATGTTATAAAACTTTTGCTGCTGTTGCTATTATACCAGTTTCATAGTTAAATATATGCCTACTGGTAGCATCTTTTAAATATCCACATAATACGAAGTTTAACTACCACACACAGGTTCTTGCTGCCACAGTTAACTTTTTTCCATGTATACATTATATATTTATTTGTGTGGCTTACTTTCATGACATGAATGTTTACTTGCAGTCCTTTTCCTTACTCCTCTCTTTTTCAGATATTATTTTTGGTAGTGTATAGCCTCAAGAGGAGATTCTTCTAAAATCAAAAGAAAAATATTCTTACACCCAAAAAAGAAGTCCAGTTGCAAGATATGCAACCTATTACTATTGTAATCCTATATTCTAAGCAAAAACTCATACTGAAAGAGTATTCAAGTTGCAGCTTAATGAAAGACTCATTTCAAAATTATCTAATATTCAACTACCTCAGTGTTGTACTTGCACTCAATATTTATTTCTAATTTTGATATATGCAATGTATGAATTATAACTTACTCAATTAAAGAGAACATATGTTAGATAATTAAATATTAAATAATCAATATGAGTAAATAATAGATACAAATATAGTCTATTATTATTTTTTCTGTTGCTGTTGATAACGCTGGTAGGATTCTGAGATTAAATATAAAAATATGGAAAAATAAATTATAATGGCAACAATAGCAGTCCGATAATGCTATGTAAAATGGAGATTTAAATGAGTTTGCTGCGACAACAGAATTAAAGAAAAATAAAATAAGGCATTGGCAAGTTCAATATAAAAGTTTTGCAACCCAAGGAGTTCCTTTGGTGTACAAATACACCATTTATATTTAGATTTTAAGGTAATCGCACATAGTTGTAAATTATTTATGATCTTTGATCGAGAGCGTAATTAATTGTAGATTTGTATTAATGACGCATTATTCGGTCGTTTGAATCAATGTTTCTTGTTACATGAAATAAATAGATGTACATATTAATGAGTAATCAGAAAATTATAAAGCTATAATTGTTTGTCAAATTATGACGCTGACCTAAATTTCGCGACTGGAGTATTCCTCGATAAATTCGTCAGAAACGTCCGTTAAAAATCGGAAACATCCTGTATGATTTGACATACCTGGAAATACACGATGCATTGTTGTCCATGTCTCCCTGCGTTTTGCGTCCTCCGTGCAGGTTTCCCGATCCAGCATCATGGCTCCAGCTCGCCTCCGTCGCAACACTCCAGATAATCAGTCGTGACAATGACGCGACACTGACAGCCGCATAGATACAACTCGATCGGGGTTTAGATTCAGTTAGGTTAACGCGCGTTAAGTAACGCGACACCGACGAGAGCCCGATCGAGAATGTCAGCAACCGGCATATTCTAGAACTGGAATATTCTAATCACACACGCGCGACGGGAATTACAAACCACGCAACGACGCACGCACTTTACGTCGCGCAGTGTTTTGTTACTCGGAATATTAAACGAAATGATTCACTCACGAAACAGACGCGGTGTACGGGCAGTGTCCTGATAGCTCGCAATCGTCTTCAAGGTCCGGGATGTTTTGAAAGTGTCGTAATCATTGTTGTCCCTTAGCCATTGAGAGAACCGTTTGTTTTCGAACGACGCTGTTGACGATTGACGCGTGCGATGTTGTCGATTTTTTTGGGCTCGCCCGAGCGCCGCGCCGCGCCGCGCCGTGGATATTTTCACGAATAAATGTCTCTAGTAGGTAAACGACGACCGTGAGATACGTATGGCAAGTGCGCGTTAGTTGTAATCCTTGCCGCGTAATAAGATTTCCCAGAATTCGAGACACTTCATAAATGTGTGAAGCAGGGGGCGGGGGAGGGGGATAAAAAGATCCGAAAATTATTTGACAATCATTAAAAATTATGACAAATCCCAAATAGCACTCGAAAAAATTCAATACAAAGGGTGAAAAATCGGGACTATCTCGAAAAAATTGGGATCTGGTCATCTTAGCTGTATGTGTCGAGAAGGAGATTACTCCGTAATAATGTACTTACGATATGTCCTGACGACCGCACATCGTTGTTTTCGATCTCTAATACTAATTTCTACGGGAGACTCACAGGACACAAGCGAAAGCGTATGCAATACGGAGCGTTGTATCCATGGCAGTTGCTCAGCATGAAAAGATCGCAGATGCATACGCTGTCAATCACCTACACCAAAAGTTCATTAACGCGCCAAAAGTGCCAAAAGTGCATGAATGTGAACGCGCCAGTGATGTGAACGAGGTCGCGCGTCTACAACAACGCGATCTGTATGGTGACGCCTTAACCATTTGCTCGAGTTACTAACCACTCTAGATCAATCGCGTTCATTTCGCACTACGAGGTTGTCATCGTGGTTATTCAATCTGGGCGTTGGTAATGAATCGCACGAAATGCTCGATCTTTTCGCGCCAAGCAGCAGCCATGGGCACACATCGATCCACATCGCTCCGCGTTTCTCGCGTCTTTTATCCGTCGAAAGTGAGTCTCGCGCGTCAATAAGTCTCGGGAGTGTCGAGAATAGCGATGTGCGATCGCCAGGGCGTATCGTGAAGACGTCATTTGTAAGTAATCTTCTCGTTTCTCCTCGCGGTATATGCGGCCGGTGCTTGTCGCGACGTGTTGTGTCGACGTCCCTTACATTTGCTAATAACATCGACTCGTTCAAGTAGCAATAGAATCGGGCGATCGTCGGATTTATTAAACGGGAATTAGAAATACGATGCCAATTAGAGAGAAAGAGAGAGAGATGCAGAATATTCGGACGATTGCGTCAGCTTATTAGGAAAAGAGATACGGAGAGAAAAGTATCTCATAGAACGCGTTTTTTTCGGCTGCGGCGCCGTTCATATACTGGCGTATATTTTCAGCGCGATTCAACAATCGCGCGACCATCTTGATTCTCGATCTTTCTGCATCGAATAACCGCCGTGGACACATCGATCGACATCGTTCCGCATTTTACGCGTCTTTAAACCATCGAAAGTAAGTCTCGCGCGGAAATAAGTATCGGGAGTGTCGATAATAGCGATGTGCGATCGCCGGGGCGTATTGTGAAGACATCATTTGTAAGTAATCTTCTCGTTTCTCCTCGCGATATATGTAAGATGACCAGATTTCCCAGCCCTAAATTCGGGACATTTTATAAATGTGCGAAGCAGGGGGAGGGAGGTAAAAATCGCGTTCCTTGATATTCGTGCTTTATGACTGTTGATTATTCAACTGTTGTAGGAAACAGCAACAAATTTGAAATATTATTTAGACATTTTAGCATTTGCATTATAAAACATACATAAAAAAAGAAGAACATGTGTGATATTATATTTCTTCGAATAATCAACAGTCACTTTGGCCGTCCTCCAGCAAGTTTAAATAAAGCTATTTCAATCGCACGAATTAGTTATTAGAATAACAGAGGTACAAACTTTTTAGCTGCACTTTGTACATTCTCTGCAATCATTGTCTTTTTCTCTCTTTCATCAATTTCGTACATATATTTTTATTTAAACAGTAAGTAAAGAGTATATGTGTACTCGATTTTGTGCGCGAAATATGCGTCTATACTTCAAGTGTATCAAACGCAACAAGGTGCAGCTGAAAGGTGCAAATCTCGCGAGGGCAATAACCATCGGCCATTTTGTCAGTACAATCCGCGACGGATCCCGCGCAAAGTGATCAGGCTCTCGTCGGTGTTAATTAACACGCGTTTCTCCGTTCGAATCGTATCTACGCGAGTGTCAGTACAAGTGAATTACTCGAAGCGACAGGATGGAGCAAGATGTTGGATCAGGAAGTCAGGACGGAGGAAGCAGGACGTAAAGACGCGGTGAGCGGTGCATCATGTATTTCGAGGTATGTGAAATCATTAATTACACAGATTAGTTTTCCGATTTTGAAAGATATCTGACGAATATAATAAGGAGGCGCCTTCAGGTCAGAATTTAGGCTGGTATTCATAATTTGTCATTATTTGACTGATAATTATAATCTTGTAAATTTCTCTGATTATTCGTCAACGTATACATGTACTATACATCTTGTACAACAAAGACTATTGATTCAAACGACAAAGAAATAACAGTACATGCACATAAACCGATAATTAATTATGCACTCGACCAGGAATCGTAAATAATTCAAATTTACAGATAACAGTCTTAGAATCTAATATAAATATCGCAATCGTGAAAATAATTGAAACTTGGCAAATCTCCTCCAACACGTTGTAAACATCGTTTATGTCAAGGCGAGTTAATATTTATAACCGGAATATGTCGTAACGAATATTCATCTTATTTCGATCGCGTGCACTAAGAGAAAAAATAAAAAAAGAAATAGTAAATATTTATTCAATGGGTACACTATCAACATTTTCACTTATACTAAAATAAAATATTTTTTGCAAACAAGGAAATATATATTTTCTTAAAATCTTAAAAGTTCATAAAAGCTTAACTTCTCATAACGCGAAACAACAGATTATTTTATTTAAATAAGAGAATTTGGATTTGAGCAAGTATGTTTTTTTGTACCCACAAAATGTTTACTATTTTTTAGATATTTTTTCTCTCAATATATGAGTCTATATATGAGTCATGTATACAGTTGTTATAAGTTTACTTTGTTTACTGCAGCGTATATCGGCGCGAGCCGAGCACACTCAACGATAAACTAAAACATCCGTAAAATTCACGCTCGCGGCCAGTTTAAGCGGGACAAAGGGTTAAGGAGCGTTTGACTGAAAGCGTCGAACAGGTGTGAAATCTGGCACGAGTACGAGCAATTGCGCGACTGACGCGGAGGCGTTGTAAAGCGCATACCGCGATCCATCACTCATTAAGCGCAGCTGCGCTCGCCGATTTCCATTGTCGCCACACCTGCTCCTGCATGTTTCGCGAATATGTCGACGCGTGTTTTCCACCGTGTTGTTGGGAATGCCGCGGAAAAGTGCGGCGAATTCTAGACGGGCACTCGGGAAATCGATTCGTTTTCTGCCGCGGCGCAAAGAAAGTCGGAAAAATGAAACGAGGGCGCGGTTGTTGATCGAGCAAACGATATATGTGTAATTGCACGTAAATACTATATGCGTTTGCCGCGAGGTGCGCGATAATAATTCACGATAATACAAAATTAAATTGGTATTACGATGTAATTGTCGTGCAATATTGATGACGGTAAAATCCTGGAAATTTTATACAATTTTCGAGCAGTTATCAGACAGTTATGTTAACTTTTATCTAGTAACTGAAAAATAAAACTATTCAAGATCTCAATCAAGATATAACATTTCTCCTGCAGTTACTGTGCATGAAAGATGTATAAATTCTGAACAGTAAATGAGCGAAATACCATTCAATTGATTAATAATTTATTTATTAATAATTTATTTATTAATTAATAATTTATTAATAATCAAATCTGTAGTTCATGAAATAGGCAGAATAATGCTAATATTTCATTCTTTATGCATGGTTTCTAATTAAAAAATTTTAATGTTATTTAGAGTCATAGAGAAAAAATCTTTGGTACCTTTGACGTATATTTTCATGTTCCTCTTCTTTAACATGACATCTTTCACAATCTTCAAACATATCCTTTTATCCATTCTTGTACAATAGTTGTACTATTTCAGCAGAATAGTTCTGATTCTAACTATTTCGTGTTTTCCTTTATATCATTACCATCAGAATAACCTAATATGTTTTCATCACACAATGAGAGATTTTATATTATTAACACATGCCCCGTTTCTCTTTTATCCACTCTCATTTCTAACTTTGATTGTTATTTTCTCTTACAGGGCTTAATATGTCTTATTTCCCTTTTCTTACTCCATATCTTTTTCGCTCACTCGTTGTTCTCACAAGCTTTTTTATGAATATAAATTAATATTTGAAATTTATTCACGATAAACATTATAATATATGCACACTTAGAAAAAAAGACATAATGATGGCAACTGTATACGTGACAACTATATGAATTTTGTATGTAAAATTAATATGTACAATTTAATAAACTATTTTGACAGTTATTGCAACTAAAGCTGAGTTACAAAAAAATTATACAGTAATTATTCAGCTCTAGGTGAAATAACTACAAAATAGTTCATTAAAATGTACACATTGATTTTATGTACAAAATTCAAATAACTGTCACCACCAAGTCTTTTTCTCTGAGTACACATTGTAAGATTGAACTAATATTGTTGATACTCTATATCTTGAAAAAAATTAGTCCACATATTATACAGTCTAAACCACTTCAATCATCACAAGGCTCTATTAAATTCTTGTCCAATTCCCACGCAGTATTTCTGCAACTGTACGAGATTACATTAAGACCAGACAATAACTGAACGAATGTCTACGCAAACTGCATACATTTCTGTCGGGAAAATTTTATCTTTCATACCACGCTCTAGTACAGAATGTGATCGATCTGAAATCATTCGAGTTCGTTTGTAGCGGCGATACGCGAGCGAGCGATTTTGCATCGCACGTGTCACGACAAACGGGCATGTCGAGGATCCTTAAACGTGTTACACACTTACCCCCGGATCGATACGATTACGTACCGCGGCGATAAAACAGCTGCTTCACTCGACAGTTTGTTACAGTCATTATATTCCGATCAGAGAATGCGAAATCGACATTGCCGCAGGCACGCGAGGAAGTCAA